GGCTACTCCTCCCAGTTTGGTATCATCAGCAAACTTGCTGAGGGAGCACTCTGTGCCTTCATCCAGGCCATTGATGAATAAACTGAGCAGGACTGGACCGAGGACTGACCCCTGGGGGACCTCGCTAGCTAGCATTAAAAGGACATCAGAAAGTTATAGGAAATCTGTGTTGGTGCATCATACACACTAAGCCATAATTAAAGGCTAAATTATGTGATGACTCCTGATCTGGTTTTAACTTAGAGCTTCCATAAATCAGATTCCTCTATGGAGCCTTTTAGATTAAAATTATGCTAGTTTAAATCCTTTAGATTCTGTGCCCAATTCCAATGCAGGGCAATTAAAAGGAATATATGGAAACTGGAAATGCCAGCATGACCTACCAAATCCTTCACATCGGTATGCCTTTAATGTGCTCTGGTTCTTGAGGTCCACATAAGCCAGCTGGACAAGGAGAAGGGACAAGACAAAAGCAAAGGCACAGAAAGGATGGGAGTGGGGTAGAAATCTCTTGCGTAACAAGAGCTCCTTTACTCTGAATTCTAACAAAAACCTAACTTAACTAAAAGCAACAGCTACAGCAGATCTGCATCTCAGCCTTGGACACAGAGTAACATTTACTAAATCAGCCTATTCAGACCCCTTGAAAACTCACAAGATTTGCTAGGGTCTTTAGTGCTGAATAAAGAAGGGGGTAGACAAGGAGATAGCACAGAACCCCAGTTCCCAGCACCAGCTCCTTAGCTACTACATCACACTACATCACGCTACTAAATACACCATAAAACCTGCTAGGGAGCAGAGGCACTAAAGAAATCCATCTCACTGGCCAAAAAGCTTCTTTATACATTTAAACGAGGAAGCTAAATCTCCAGCCAAAAACAATTCAATGCATAATTAAACTATTCTGCAACAATCTATTAACAGAACAGCTCACCAGCCTGACTTGCATCTTTTTTTTTTTTTTCCTGTACAAACTTCCAATTTAATTGCTTCATTCTAGGGGACTAACATAGACTAACAAAGAACCAACCACAACAAAACAGGAAAAAAAGCTCAACAACCCAGCACTCTTTCAAATGCAGACAGCAAGCAGAATAAAATAACCGCACACAGGAATGAGTAGGCAGGTCTCAAGAGGGCTGGCAGAGCGCACTTGTCACTGGGGCACAGCAAAACTGCAGACAGGAGACACAGACCAGGCATCTATTTTAATTCCCTCATTTTACTTGTAATTCTTTGTTCGAGCTAAATAAGTCTATTTAGTTCCTTAAAAAAACAGTTGGTTACTATCACTATCAAAAATAACACAGTAAGGGGAAGAGTTTCAATTTAATCTTAGCCTAAAGCCAGAAGCCCACCAAATACAAGCATCCCTTGGATGACTTGAAGGCAGGAGAGTGCTCATGCCAGTAGGTGAGAGGTGGTGGCACGCTCCGGAGAGCTCGCAGGTACGGGCTGTGCAACATCTAGCCAGGCCAAGCTCTAATCCCTCCTTCAAAAGGCCTGCATGGCAGATGGACTGTCTGAACTCTGAAGACAGGCCCAGATATATGTAACCATTTCCTCATTAGACCCTTTTCTCACTGTTTTGTTTTTCTCCCTCATCAATTCCTAAATACTCACACTTGTCTTTAATGCTTCCATGCATTTGCGTAATTTCCCAAAGGCATTGGGACCCGTGTATCTTTCTGGCCCAAAACTGTACTGCTGAATCCAGTTGCAACCTTGAGAATACAAAAGTTTTTCAGGGAGCTGGAAGAAGAAAAAAGTAATTAAGTAGAGATCATTACCATAGGAATAAATAGATTATAAAGTTATCATGAACCTGTCTACAGAGGTTGCAACATATTTGAATTTGAGTGGCTCTATCCTCTGGTTGCACAGCTTAAACAAGAAAAAAAAATGAATTGCCTTCAAAATGACTCAGATATTAAGAAGGAGGTTCCACTTGATTGCCAAGTCCTTATGAAGCTTTTTAAACAATGCCAGACAAATAATAATAATAATAAAAAAAAACAGAAAGTATGTTCCCAGCAAAACATATCATGTAAATCCCAGAAAAGCTGGGTACACTCAGACTCAGTAAGGTTTTTAAGATTCCAGCCTACGTGCACACCCACGGAGGCAGCAGCTACAGCAGTTTGAAGTGCTTCCTCCCCCACTTCCTCACTGCTTTCTCTCTGAGGGAACTCATGAGGCCAGGGGCAGAATTCATGCACTTCTTGGCTCCTTCAGCACCGCATTCAGCAGCTCAGAGCTTCCTTCAGCAGTGCTCCCAAACAAGGTGCCAGACTCTGCACTGACCTGGAAGAGGATTCAGTCCTTTTTTTGAGGTTAAAGCTAGGACATCTGGCAGAGGGGTAGTCTCCTCGAATGCTGATAATGATTCTCTTTTACATAGCAGATGTACAAAAAAAGTCCATCTTCACACCAAACAAAGCCTCCCTCTGTGGTCTAAGGTCATTTGCATTGCATTCACTTTAGGAGCTATATTTTACCTTTAATATATCCCTCTCCTTCATCCATGATGGAAAAGAAATGCCTTGACTGAATATCTGAAAAAGCACTGCTCTTAGTACAGAGTAGTTGTCCCTCCTGACTTGTCGTAGATATTTGATGTGATATGTCCAAAACAAGTCTTCATATGCCTAGAAAAAGACAATAAACATTTTAAATCTTGAATGAAGCCCATACTAAGTTGGAGTTCACTTCTGAACTACTCACAAAGGGCTAGTGGAAAGAGAGAGTATACTTGAATATTTTATATATACAAAAATACTTCAACACACTGTCCCAGAAAAGAGTGATCTTCTTTGAATCAGCTACTTGCTCCCATCTTTGCACTCTTGCTGGCATAAATATTCTTGTGGTCAACCAAATCGAAAGGGAGCAGTGGGAACCTCTTTGCCATGAGAGCTTTAACCCTGATCACTTCACAAGCTGTGCTGACACATGGGATGGAGCAGCAAGAGGGCAGGAATAAGTACCCGAAGAACACATGAAAATTCCTTTTTTTTTTCAGAAATCTGCCTTACATTGTCATGCATCAATGACCTAAGGCAGAACATATCTGACAGCGCTCTGCTGAAGCAGACAGCTTGTTTTTGCTGTGTGTTACCTCTGGCTCTCAGATAAGCCCTTGGTGAGACAGTTCTGACCAATAAGCCAGTTGAAACCAACAGACCAATAAGCAGAGAATTAATTTAAAAGCACTGTACAGTTAGTTGCACAGACTGCTGAATTTCATGACGTTACAATTTGCTTCCTAAATGGTTAGAGAAGACAGTTGCACTTCTTTGCCCATTCACCTCAGTTGCCTCCTCACCCCAAACTAACACCACTCCTTGGCTGCCCAGCGCCCCCACTCCTCTTTTGCTTTGGCTGTGTCAATCATAAACCCCACTGAACTCTTTTTCTGGGTAAGCCTCCTGCTGCATTAGCAAGTTCAGGTGGCTTAGAAAAGGATCTGATGAACCGAGTGGGAGCATGCGGCCAGCAACAGAGGTGAGGAGAGGAGAGAAGAGGATAAGAGCCTGGAGTCAAGTCTGTCCCCAGGGATGACCTGTCAAATCAGACAGGGGGACTGCCTAGCTGGAGCGAGGTGAGGAAAAAGCAGAGCCAACACAAGCAAAGGCCTGTTTCACTTAGCTTAGGCCAACCCAGGTATTTCATGAGACCTCATTCTAAAATGCGCTCTTACTGTGACAACTTTGGCCTGGTGTAACTAACCATCCGCAAAACTCCTCCGATTCTCCTTCTCCATCTCTGATCTCCTAACAGGCTCATACATTTTCTGAAAGGTTTGTTGCCTTGTGCTCACTGCCTATGTTTGTGCAAATTTAATGGAAGTTCTGGTATGTTTTGTTACTTGTTCCTTCAAATTGCTTTTGGCCTCGCTCTGTGTTGTTGTGTTCATTACTGGCATTGTTGCGATACTGTATTTAATGTGGCTGAGTTTGGTCTTTTCTCTGTTTATCATTTGGACCCAACTTCAGCTTTTGAAAGAGGTCTTCCTTCTTCTGATAACTCCCTCATGCTGTTTAGCACATGAGCTTCCTTTTGTCCTTTCTTAAGTCCTTCTTCATGGTATGCACTTACCCTGTGATTCCAAGACCAATACCCAAGCAAAGCATATATCAAATACACCGACTATAAATAGTAAAGTCTCCTAGCTCTCTTAACTTCCTTTTAACATCCTCATTTTCTGTAGTTTCCCTTTCTAAAGGTGAATGCAATCAAAAGACATTTTTTTGCTTTATTGCTCCTTCATGGATGTGGAATGAGAGGGCATGCTGCTTGCCGTTCCAGAGAATGGCAATGGATACTAGACAGAAGTATTTTGAGGTAGGTCCTGCATACTTGTTCAGGACCAAGGCAAGAGTTGTTTCTAAGGGCTGTCTGGAAAGATGCTGCATGAAATAGTCAGAGATAGCATCTATAAGTTCAACTCCATAGCTGTTGGCCAGGGCAGATGGATAATCAATGTCGTCACTGCTGCAGCTCCTGCCCCCTTTGTCTCTTTCTCCCCCAGCATATCACAGCCAGTGTTCCCAGCATCGTTAGATAACATTTCTGCATTCAGAAATGCAGAAATACAGACCTGGTGCTATATTTGTCCCGTGCAAGCCCCAAATGCCATACCGTGGAGATATCAGGTTATAACATCACAATTAACTGATTAACTGGATTTGATTCTAAGCTTTCTTTAACAGATACCATGACTCTTATCACCAGTACAGCCACTTTAGCAACAAGTTGTCTTGGGATCATAAAGATCCATCACAGAGTCTTTGAGTCTTGTTGACTAACAATACAGTTGAAACAGAGAGCCATAAAATATACAGAATTTGTTCTTTGCTCCTGGATACCCATCCCCATCACAAGTTTGGATAACATAGTACTGCTTCAACTTAAAACATTTGTCAGGGTCCTCCAGAGCATATCAGTGCTTCCTCCATTAATGGCCATTAAGATACAACTGCCACAAGTCCACTGAGCTTGTGATACTTCAAGTTTGCCAAAGCTGCAGCTCCCATTTCTATCTACTAGGACCCACACAACGTAGAGAACTGATAAACATGTAAGTGAAGTGAGAGAAAACAGAAAGCTGGCATTAGTGAACCATGAACTAAGCAGGCCTCTGGCTCCAGGGCTCAGCTATCTGTGACCCAAAGCCTGGTTCTAGGTAACTTTGGCTCAGAATTACAAAGGAAACTTATTAAGGTGTGTTTCAGCTAGAACTATGCAAGATAAGAAAAATAAAAATGCGGAGAAAAGGGTGTCAGGTGGCCCTTTAGATTTTGGAAGTAAAATGGTTGCATTTCACTCCTCCCACAAATGCAAGAATTTCTGCCTTATATCAGAGGCTGGCCCACAGACAGCGCCTAAGTGCAGGTGATTTGGACTGTAACAATCCAGCTGATATTCTCCTACTGTCACAACAGAAGCTCCATTCAACCTTGTCCTTATTTTAGACCGATGTTAATGTCCATTTCTCTTGTCTTTCCAACAGTTGGTGTAACCAGCTCTGACAGGCATAGCAGCTGCCTGCATGAGAACCACTACCCTGTTCTCAGGTACCCCATCTTCAGGCGCAGATTACGATTTAACCCTTACCTCCCGTATGTGTTTGGCCTGCTTTGTGTCGTCTCCTTTCCACTCTCTTCTGCAATAACCAAGGAGATCGACTTCTGGTGACACACTGACATTCTCTAAACCAAGACCAAGGCACAGGTTAGTTACGATCTCCTGTCCTGCCTTTAGAGGGGAAGGGGAATTAGTGAATACAGAAAAACATTACTTAGGAATCTTCTCTGAAGATAGCTGGTCCACCTGAAAGTGAAATGATAAAACAGTGTAAAAAGGGAGTTGTCAAAAGCAAACATTTACTGAAAAAGAAGAAACACTGGTGAAAATTAAAGTCTGCATCATAAAACCTACCATTTCAATAGTCGTGCTAAATAGTTGTATAGTCTTCTGCAGTACCAAAAAACGGTGACAAGGAAAGACATGCCTAGCTGTACTTTTACTTTTTGCCACATGAGACAGAAGGATCGCCTGGTAGCTGCTGTCCAGGACTGCACCTCATGCCTTCCTAAAACAGGGATAAGAGAGAGAGAAACAGAGAGAGAGAGAGAGAGAGAGAGAAGGGTTTTACTCGCTTGCAATATGTGTTTACACTTATTAGAAATAAAATCCAACTATGGCACCACTCAAAACAAGAAACAAAACATGCAACATAAAATATGCGGTATATTTAGTGACTATCTTAACTTGACAAGTTTTAGGCTTTGAGAGGCACTTGGTTCACGTTTTCCAGCTCTTCCCACAGTCTAGAAATAATCACAATTATAAGACAGCAGGGGTTTCCCCAAAAGACTGATACCAAATAACCATTCAACAACAAAAGACTTACTTTGGGATGTTTTGACCAGGGAGCTGTACTTTCATTACTTAGTCATACATCAATCTTTTTAAGATGACAACTCCCTGGGAGATGTGGTCTACAAATTGGACATATAAGGCACTATATTAGCTGACTAAGCATCCTATGAATGCCCACAGGAATCAAAGGAATGTTCCTTGCCCAATACAGGTGACTTTAGGGTCAATTAAAAACTCAGGAGAAAGCTTCTTCCTCAGGATCTGGTGGAAAGCTCAGGAGACAGTGATAAAGGGGAGATGCTCTCACTGCTTTTCTCAGAGATATACCACAATCCTTGCTTCCTCTTTGGCATTACAGTGACGATTGGGAAAGTTTGGGCAGTATAAAATTAACTGAATTGAGAGAAGCATAAAGATTTAAAGGTTGTTGACAAATGCAAGGTCTAATCCCTCTGAGAGAAATTACCCTCTGACTGAAATTAGATATAAAATACCCAAAGTTTATGACCAGCAGTTGCTCTATTATTTATTATTTACTTATAAATATATAAATGTATAAATTTATTTATTGGTTATTATTCATTGATTGATTTAACACCAAATTTTAAGAGACTTCATGCTTTTCTTCAGGCACCTACAAGGAAGTGCCAAAAATATCCTCTAGAAGTCCAAGCACAAACACTTACTTCCGCACAGCAGAATGACATTTGAACTTCTGCTTTATATATTAAGACCAAGACATGCTGTTGTATCTCCTACTTCACAGGATCAGTTACAGAATGGCTGAGGTTGGAAGGGACCACTAGAGATCATCTAGTCCAACCCCCCTGCTCCAGCAGGGACACCTGGAGCACATGGCACAGGGTGGCATCCAGGTGGGTTTGGAAGATCTCCAGAGGAGGAGACTCCACAGCCTCTCTGGGCAGCCTGTTCCAGGGCTCTGTCACTCCCATGGTCAAGTTCTTCCTCAAATGGAGGTGAAACTTCCTGTGTTTGAAAATGCACCCATTACCCCTTGTTGTGCTGCTGACCACAACTGAGAAGAGTTTGGCCCCATCCTCTTTATATTCGCCCCTCAGATATTTGTAAATGTTGAAAAGATCCTCCTCAGTCTCCTCTTCCAAGCTGAGCAGGCCAAGCTCACTTAGTCCCTCCTCACAACATAGATGCTCCAGGCCCTTAATCATTTTTGTTGCTGTACATTGGATCCTCTCTAGAAGATCCACATCACTTTTGTACTGGAGAGCCCAGAATAGCACACAATATTCCTGGTGTGGCCTCATTAGAGCCGAGTAGAGGGGAGCATCATCTTTCTCAGCCTGCTGATGACTCTTCCTGATACAGGCCAGCATCCCATTAGACTTCTGCACTGAAAGAGCACACTGCTGTCTCATGGTTAACTTGTCGTCAAACAGAACTCGCAATTCCCTCTGCACAGAGCTGCTTTCCAGCAGGTCAACCCCTAATCTGTACTGGTCTCCAGGGCTATTCTTAACGAGGTGCAGGACTATGCAACCTGCTAACCCGATTACTCATGGCACTCTAGGCCTTCCCTCTACCTTAACCCTAACCCTTACGATAGCCCTAAGACTAAGATCCTCAGGCCTAGTGCTGCATAAACAGAAAAGATGAATGAAGCACAAGACTGGAGAAAGTTCTACATATCCTTTGGCATGCCCTTCCTAGCCCCATTACCCATGGGGCTCTAGGCTTTCTCTCTCTCTTAACCCTAACCCCAGCCCTAACAATAAGCCTGAGGCTCCAGGCCTAGCACAGCATAAATGGCAAAGAGGGTCCTAGCAGCAGGCTGGATACAGTGCTATATTTCCTTTGGTATGCCCTTTCTAGACCCATGGTCCAAGGGGCTCTAGGCTTTCTCTCTCTCTCAACCCTAACCCTAGCCCTAACCCTAAACAAAACCTAAGCCTGATGTACCCAGGCCTAGCACTATATAAACAGTAAAAATCGTCCCAGCACCAGTATGGATATAGCACCACATTTCCTTTGGCATACCCTTCTTACATCCACTGCCCATGAGGCTCTAGACTTTCTCTCTGTCTTAATCCTAACCCTAGTCCTATACCTAAAACTACCTATAACGCTAGCCTAAACTTGACATATCCAGACCCAGCACTGCATGAACAGCAAAGATGGCCATGATACCCATCTGGATACAGAAGGACATTTCCTTTGGCATGCCCTTCCTAGACCCATGTCCCGTGGGGCTCTAGACTTTCTCTCTCTTTTAACCCTAAGCCTAAACCTAGCCTCAACCCTGAGCCTGAGGCTCCAGGCCTAACGTGACCTAAATGTCAAACATCTCTGTGGCACAAAACTGGATAGAGTGCTACATTTCCTTTGGCATGCCCTGCCTAGACTCATGGTCCATGGGGCTCTAGGCTTTCACTCTCTTTTAACCTTAACCCTAACCCTAACACTAAACCTAATCTAAGCATGAGGTATGCAGGCCTAGAGCTGCATGAACCGCAAAAATCGCTCTAGCACCATTCTGGGTATAGCACTATATTTCCTTTGGCATGCCCTTCCTAGACCCATGAGACTCTAGGTTTTCTCTGTCTCTTAACCCTAACCATAACCCTAGCCCTAACCCTAATCTGAGCCTAAGCCTAGGCTTCCAGGCCCCAGTCACGGCAAAACAGCAAAGATGGTGCTAGCACCAGTCTGGAGAGAGTGCTACATTTCCTTTGGCATGCCCTTCCTAGACCCACGGTCCATGGGGCTCTAGGCTCTCTCTCTCTCTTAATCTTAACCCTACCCCTAATAATTAGCCTGAGCCTACAGGCCTAACACAACATAAATGGCAAAAACCTTCCTAGCACCACTCCGGGCACAGTGCTACATTTCCTTTGGCGTGCCCTTTCTAGACCCACAGTCCGTGAGGCTCTAGGCGTTCCTTTTCCAAACTCCAGCCCTAACCCTAACCCTAGCCCTAAACACCACTAGCCCTAACCCTAGCCTAGGATCCCGAGCCCCAGTAATGACAAAACAGCAAAGATGATCCTAGCACCATTCTGCATATAGCACTGCATTTCCTTTGGCATGTCCTTCCTAGACCCTTAGCCTATCAGGCTCTAGGCTTTTTCTCTCTCTTAACCTGAAATGTAACCCTAACCCTAAGCCTGAGGTTCCAAGTCTAGCACTACATAAATGGCCAAAATGTTCATAGCACCAGTCTGGACACGGTGTTACATTTCCTTTGGCATGCCCTTCCTAGACCCACCATCCATGGGGCTCCGGGCATTTTGCATCTCTTAACCTTAGCCTTAACACTAGCCATAACCCTCAGCCTAGCCCTGAGTCCCATTCAGGGCAAAATGGGAAAGAAGGTCCCAGCACCAGTCTGGATATAGCACTATATTTCCTTTAGCAGGCCCTTCCCAGACCCACCGCCCATGAGGCTCTAGGCTTTCTCTCTCTTTTAACCCAAACCCCAGCCCTAACCCTAACCCTAGCCCTAATGCTAGCCTAAGCCTGAGATGCCAAGTCCCAGTCATGGCAAAACATGAAAGAGGGCCCTAGAAGCAGTCTGGATAGAGTGTTACATTTCCTTTGGCATTCCCTTACTAGACCCATTGCCCATGGGGCTTGAGACTTTTTTTCTCTCTTAAGCATCTTAAAGTATAGGAAACATTTCCTACTTATTCCAATAGGCAGGAAAGCGCCATCAGCAAGAGTCAGCAATGGAACTTCTACTGGAAACTCTAGGGCATTCCCACTTTTACCATATACATTTATTGTTCATAGAAGTCAACAGATAAATTTTAATAAGGAAACAGAAACCAGCCAAATTTCGGCCAACAAGACAAGAGTTACTAAGGGAAGTCAGTCCTGGCAGAATCAAGTTAAAGTATTTTATTCTCTCTCTGCTTTAGCACAAAATCACCAACATTATAAACCTCAATCACTGTAAATCACTAAATCTTCTGCTAACTTTGAGGGGCTTTAAAAGCTTACAGATGCTGTTCAGTCCATTGATCAATGAATATCTGGCATTTACATTTTCAAACTATTGCACAAAATGCAATAAGGGTTGAAATAAAAGTCATTAACAGCAACTTAAACATATGCTATCAAAAGGGAGATGCAGCAGACTCATTTCACTACTTCTCATAACTGTATGGATACTCTATGATCTAGAGCAAACTGCAAATACAGAAAGCTATGGCCACTCCATCTGCTTGAAAGACACATTTGGTGCCTATCAGAAATGTGTGCACACAGCCTTACAATAAAATTTCTTCCTTTAACCGTTCTTATAGAATAAAAGACAAAAGGTTTTCATTAGCATGTGCTTAAGTTAAATGAAGCAACATCTTTGAAAAGCTTTTGCTAGTATTAATCCTGCAAACAAAGCCTCCTTCCAAGGTCCATAGTTAACAGGTGCACAAGTGCCAGCTCTCCAACCGTGATAGGAAACATGAATCACCAGAGAACATCCTGCAATTGAAAATTGCTCATCCATTTTTGTTAATCAACATCAAATAACATGCTATAATTGAATACTGCACCTCTGATTTTACTTAATTTTAGCGGATTTATAACTAGAAACTGCTCTAATAAAAACGCTAAATGGAAGATGAGGGGGAAAAACCTGCAAAGAAATGATGTGGGGTGTTTTTGTTGCATTTTTATTGCAGCATGCGCTGGACTTCGTAACCTTTCCCTCCTGCCATGGATTGACACGC